AATGTCTCCTCATAAGCACTGTCTACTTTTTGTGTAAATTTGTTGGCCACTAATCTGGCCTTATATCTCTCTAAAGTCCCATCAGCTTTATACTTGAGTTTATATACCCATTTGCACCCTATTGGAACCTTACCAAGAGGCAGGGGAACCAAAGACCATGTCCTATTTCTTTCCAAGGCTTGAATCTCTTGTTGGATAGCTATAACCCAATTGGGATCCTTCGATGCTTGGGTGAAAGAATTGGGTTCAGTAAGGGCAGATATGCTAGACAAACATTTTTGGTAAGTTAAGGAAAGGTGATTATAGGCTATGTAATCATGGATGGGATATTTGACAGTAGAGATTAGAGTGGACTGTGGCAAAGTAGGACACACAAAATCTGTGATCCAAATAGGTGGCTTAGTGGTCTACTAGATTTTCTAAGTTGATTGTGTGAAGGTGAAAATGTAGTAGGTACAACTGAAGGTAAATCAGGAGCTGGTAGACTAGATAAAGCAGGTTCTGTCTCATGAAAAGTACTAGAATCAGAAGATGGGGAAACTAACTCTTCTTTCATAAATTTTTCAAGAAGAAAATGTGGTTTATTGGACTAATGCATAAGGAAAGGAAAAATTTGTTCATGGAATATAACATCCCGACTGACACTTACTATCTTGGACTGTAAATCATATAGTATATACCCTTTCTTAGAAGTAGAATAACCAAGGAAAACACAGGGGATGGACCTTAGAGCAAATTTATCTTGAAGGGTTAAATTTGTAGCATATGCCAAGCACCCAAAAACCTTCAAATGATCTAATTTAGGTTGATGGCCATAAAACTTTTCAAAAGGTGAAAGACAAAGTAAAACCTTGGTAGACAATCTATTGATAATATAGACTGTTGCTTTTACTGCATATTGAAACTTAAAGGCTCTAGCAATGTTAAGGATGTGTCTATGCTTTCGTTCTAGTACTCCATTTTGCTGTGGGGTGTAGACGCAACTACTTTGATGTACAATATCTAAGCTAGATAACAACTCATGACAATGTTGATTAAAGAATTCTGACCCATTGTCTATTCTAATACACTTAGGGGTTCTATTGTACTGATTTTGTATCATAATAAGAAAATTCTTCAAGGTTTGATACACATCAGCTTTAAACTACATAAGAAACAGCCATGTAGTCCTTGTATAATCATCTTTAACAGTAAGGAAATATCTTGCATTACCTTGCGTTGGTACCTTGTAAGGGCCCCAAACATCTAAATGCAACAATTCAAATACATTTGATGTGTTTGTCTCATTAAAGGTAAAGGGTAATCTAGTTTGCTTGGCTAGGGGACAAACTTCACAATGGAATTTATATTGACCTGAAAGTCCATGATTCAAAGTTTGTAAAACTGGTAATGGTGCATGCCCCAATCTTCTATGCCAAAGTACAATATCCTTAGTATACAAAAACTTTATTGATAAACCAATAGCAGTATCAACACAATTAGTAGAATTGCAAACTGTCCCTTTATTATAATCAGACCCGCATGTGCCTAATGCTTTCCTTAAAACTAGAACAATATCATGTAAACACATCTTTATTTTGGAAATAGGGATGAAATCATACAACCCTTGGCATAGCTACCAATCCCCCTCAGTTTGCCACTCCAAAGATCCTAGACAATACAAAAATTTGGATAAAAGATGGTGGAACAATGACAGGAAGAAGTCAATTTAGATATTGATAGTAGGTTGTATTTGAAATCAAGCAAAAATAGAACTTTCTCAAGCAATAAGTCCTCTTGCAATCTAACAGAACCAACATTCCTAATTGAGGTTTTAATACCATTTGGAAGACTTACAAAGCTATTAATTGATTGTTAGCTAGCTATGGCAGATTCAAAATTGCAGAAGTCATGGGTCATATGACCTGTGGCCCCTGAATCTAGTATCCAATTACTTGCATTATCAAGACTGGAACATAATGAGATGGTTTTACCTACAAGATTAGCTGATGGTGCTATTAAATTCTCTTTTCCTAGAAGCAACTGCAGTAGTTAAGCATACTGTTTTGGAGTCAGACATATCCCAGGTTAGCTCATTTTTTAACATTGTCAATAATAGCTTCAATATTCAATAATTGCAACTATGATCCTTGCTCCTAACTAGGTTGAGCTTGATTGGCTTTAGCTTTCATTCCAAATTTCCCCTTCGTAATTTGAAAGTCAGCTAGCATGAAATTTATAGCAGGTATCTCTTTTGTGTCCAGGTATATAGCTGTAATCACATTCGATGTAAGGTTTCTTCCCCTTTACTTTGAATTTTGGCCTGAATTTCTTTGGTTGCCTTGTGAATACAATGTCGTAGTAACTTCAGTAGCCTGATTATGTCCTATCAACACCTTTTGACTCTCATCTTGGCTTCCTATAAAGTAAGCTTGCTTCACAGATGGCAGAGGGACCATTAACAGTATTTGACTTTGGACCATTGCATAAGAATCATTGAGTCCCATTAGAAATTGCGGTAATTTTTGCTTATTTAGGTGAGCTAAATAAGCATTGACCAAGTCACTATTTGGTGGTAGTAAACTCACCAGCGAACTCAATTCATCCCATATAGTCTTGAGTTTGTTATAATAAGCAGCAACTGAGCTTGTTCCTTGTACCAGATTGACTATCTCTCTATGAATCCCAAACACTCTTGTTCCATTTATCTTTTTATACTGCTCTTACAAGTCCTGTCAAACTTGATGAGCACTAGTTGAATATACAATATTGTTAAAGATTTCCTCTGGCACAGTATTGAGGATCCATGCAAGAACTAAGGAGTTATAACGCTCCTATTGAGCATGCAGAGACTGATTAAACTTAGACTTCTCACAAGATCCATTGACAAACCCGAGCTTATTTTTTGCTCTCAAGGAAATGTCATGGCACGACTCCATATTCCATAATTCTCTGTTCTAGTGAGCTGCTCCGAGACTAAGATTGAACCAGGAGTGTCTGATGGATGAATGTAGAGAGGAGATCCAGAATCGGTGACATTCAACATTCTTATATCTCAGTTTGTATCTTTGCTAAAATGGATGAAATTGATGAAACGAAGAAAGAATCAAGATGAAGAATTCAAGGAACAAGATGAGCCCCACTTCAGATTTGAGCTGGCTCCTTCAATTGGATCAATTCAGTAGCTTAGAATACCGCTCTGATACCATGTTTGATTTTGATTCAGAGAGAAACGAAGATCAATTTTTATTACTTTAGCTAAAGAGCTTAAGAAGAAGATACAAAATGCACTATCACACTTTTATACAAACCCAGTAACTGTGGTCAAGTTAACCACAGTTAAGCTAACTAACTACAACAGTTAACTACTAACTAACTGTGTTTACAACTCCATATCAACTAACCACAATACAATAACTACAATACAACAATCCAAGACGGGATATCTAAGAGAAGTGAAAGAAAAAAAATCCTAGAATGCATAATATATACTAATTAGTAATTCCTTTCATTTTTGTTAATAATATCCTTAGAACTGGTCAAAATCAGATGGTTTTTTCCAAGTTTTCTCAACTAGCTAGGCATAGCTATTTCCAAACTAGTTCAAACAGCAATATAATACATGCCTAACTCATCTTATAACATCATGGAAATTAACGAACTCTCTATTACGTCAATAATTAGGTCTTAACTTTGATAAAAAGAGTTTCTGCATGTGAAGTTAGGCATCGCATGATCAGTTATGACATGTAAAGATGTAAATTCAAAATCTAAGAAACTAATTATAGCAGATTTAGAGTATACATATCATTTTGCAAAATATATGTTGTTCTATGATATCAGTTGCATCTATCTTCAAGGTGAAGCCTAAGAATGAGACACCCACCTAAAGAGGTCAGTCCACAATCGGCTAACAAGGGCTCTCAAGGTAAAGTCACCATAGAACCTGTACATCACATCAGCAACAAAGGAAGAGGATGCAAACACAAACCTCCAACCTATATTTGTTTTTTAGCCTTAGGTTCCTGTTTTGTTGGCATGTTATTTTGTGAGTTCTAGTGCCTTTGAGCTTTGCCTGTGTTGGCTCGTAAATTTTGTCCCTATGCTTTTTTGGCTTGTGTTCTCTCTCGGATCTGTCCAAGTTTTTTTGGTGAGGGAGTCCCTTCTTTTGGCTGTATTCTTTTATTCTTTTCTATTACAATTACCGGGTTTACCTAAAAAGAAAAAAAAAAGATGAAGCCTCTAGGTTTTGGATATTTTTTCTTCTTGATTAATTAGAAGATGTAACCAAATTCTCTTGGTTTTAATGCGAAGTTGCCACCAATAAGCAACCTAGCCAACTATTTTTACATTGGAAATTGATATATCTCACCAATATTTAAGGGTCAAATCGAAACTTAAAACACATTTTTGGGCCATTTAAATTTGACTACTCATACAATTTTCTTCCCATTTAACTACGTACCTTTCCTCTTCATATCCTTTGTTTGAGAAGTAATCCTTATGATTTTGAAGATGTCATGCATAAATTGATATTATCAAGATACGTCTAACTCGATTAGTAAACTGAGACTTGATTGGATTGGATAATATATATGTATATATGTATCATCGAGTTAAACTATAGTAGCCTATAAGTGATAAATATTCAACCCAATATAACATGGGCTCAAAAGAACATGATTGCAGNAATTTTATGTTTTGAGTTGAGAAATGTCATCTATTTTAACGATGAAATCAGTTTCCTGTTTAATTGTAGGGCTACTGATGTGGATTCAGACGCCCATGATAAAAACAAGAAAAATATTACGCTGCTAGAGAATGCTGGTCTGCACTGCCTAACTTAAGAGCTTATTGAAAAAATAGAGTTTGGATGAAACGATTTTGAAGATAGTATTCGCATAGAGGGATGAAAGTTAACGAAAGCGAAGAAAAAATATTTTTCTACACTTTTAATGCTTTTTTTTTACTCTTAAAACGGTTTATGGATGTTTTTCGGATGTTTAAATTTTACGAAACAAATGGCAGAAAAACAACTCAGGTATGTGATCACTGGCGGTGGTGTGGCGGCGGGATATGCAGCAAGGGAGTTTGCCAAGCAGGGTGTTAAGCCAGGAGAGCTTGCAATCATCTCCAAAGAAGCGGTGGCTCCATACGAGCGTCCCACACTTTAGCTAGGAATATCTTTTACTAGAGGGACCTGCTAGCCTCCAGGTTTCCATGTCTGTGTTGGAAGTGAAGGAGAGTTTTCGCCAGAATTTTTCCTCAGTACAGAAATTATCCAAGGAGGATACATTGGTCTTGAAGTTAGTGCAGCTTTGCGAATCAATAATTTTGATGTTAGCATGGTTTTTCCTGAACTATGGTGCATGCCTCAGCTCTTCACTGCTAGTATTGCAGCATTCTGTGAAGGTTATTATGCTAATAAAGGTAACGATGTCCATTGGAGAACAGTTGTGTTGAGTTTAAGGCTGACTCTAATGGAGATATCAGAGAAGTAAAACTAAAGAACGGCAGGGTGCTGGAAGCCGACATTGTTGTTGTTGGTATTTGAGTTAGACCTGTAACAGCTTTATTAAAGGGGCAGGTTGAAGAGAACAAAGGTGGGATAAAGACTGATGAATTTTTCAAAACAAGTGTTCCTGATGTGTATGTTGTGGGAAATGTGCCTACTTTGCCTCTGAACTTGTACAATAATGAGATGAGAATAATTGAACATGTCGACCATGCTCGCAAATCAGCTGAGCAGGCTGTAAAGGCCATCAAGGCAAGCGAGGACGGGCGCAAAACGGTAGCGGAATATGACTATGTTCCATTTTTCTTTTCTCGTTCCTTTGATCTCTCATGTAAATTCTATGGTAACAGTGGTAGAAAGGCCACGGTATTTGGGGACAATAATCCAGCATTACCTCAGCGGTTCAGAACATATATATTGGATCAAAGATGGAAAAGATTGTTGGAGCATTCTTTGAAAGTGGGACCCCAGAAGAAAACGAGGCCATTGCGAAAGTTGCTAGGCTTCAACTTAATGTTCATAATTTAGATGTTGTGAGAAAGAAGCTGGCTCTTACCTCGAAAGCAATCGGCAGGTGAGAAAGTTTATTGATCAGTAAAGCTTTGAAAAGCTAATGGTATATGGAAATTAAGCATTGAACAGAAATTTGTAAAATTGGTTATCATTCTTGGTCCAATTAGTGAAGAGGCATTGATCTTAAATTGATATATGTGTGGTAAAATTACATGATTAAATATATGTAATGCTACATCACTTAAACACACGAAATTGAGATAGAAAGTTGGGAAAGACGACATTACCCAAAGTTCTTGTAGATATTCTTAGGATTCAAATTCTTTTTAGGCTAACTTAAAGAGATGAGTAATGTTACACATATCTGAACCTGTATGCTAATTGAGTTGATAGATCATTAATTCACATATACTCTACCAACTCAACCGTCATATAGGTATACAAATTTGGGATTACAATTTTACATGTAAATTGTTTTTAATAAAAGACACATACAAATATAAATTCCATAAGGGTAAGTCATTTGCCTTTGGTTCGGCTCTAGTTGAGTTTAACGACATCTCATTAATAAATGAGTACATTTATTTAATTTCTTGAATTAAGGCGACAAAATTAACAATTCCAATAAAACAAGGCCAATTTACAAGCTTTTAAGAAATATATTTGTAGAAAAGCTGGAAGGTGGTGGTTGGAAACATTGGGAGGGTGGGGTGTGTTTTAGAGAATAGACCAGGACTCAACATTATATCAGTCCTGTAGTGAGTTAACTTATATATAGGATATATAGAATTAGAACTTCTAGTAAAAATAAAAGAACTCTAGCTATATGTACTTATGCTAATTATAAAGCCAAATAAGAATGATGTAAATTATATAAATCCCATGGAAACAAAACAAGGTAGAGAAATGTAAGTCATAGATGAAGCATAATGATGTTTATGACAAAGAATTAAGTCGACCATTTTGAGACAACTCCAATCAATTTAACTTCAACTTCGATAATGACAGTGTCATCAACCAAGAAACCCCACGTCAGTGACTTCTATGACGGATTAAACATGGATTGAGCTGCAGAAAAGATGAAAAGAAAGTAGTCAAAGAACAAAATTTATATTAAAAATGCAAGCACTTATAACAAGAAGGAAAAATATTAAAGCACAAGAATTTATAGAGTCTTGATATATCCCCATTTAAAAAAAAAAAAATGCAGAAATTTGCATTTAAAATTTGTATAAATATCACAAATTACAGAAAATCAATTGATGTATGTGCATGTAACAATTTCGTACAATACAAATGATTTTATTTCAAAAAATTGATGTGTTTTCTATACCATAGGTCTTTGACACACAAAGTCAATTTAATTAATAATTTCGTATCTTGGGGAACACTTGATCCAGACATATTTAGATACAGTGAAATACCGTTGCCCTTGCCTGCTCCATCTCCATTTGGGTTCAGTCTAACATTCTGCAATTCAATAATAACTTCTACAGTAATATTTGCATGGTATGTGAAGTAAATTAACACAACTCAAGTTCCAAATGAAAGCAACTATATATACCAATCATAGAATCCAAATGATTCTGACACATAAAGTTGAAAATTTCTCAATTTTCCATGTATGGTAGAGAGAATCATAGTTCTTCATCAATGATAAGTGATCCCCTTTGAATGTATTTTTGATAACAAAAACCTCAGCACAAAAAACACAAGAATCATCCATAAGGTATCCATTAAGAGGATCTGAAAATGTATTCAAGTCAATGAAGTTTTTGATACCCCATTTGGTCTTCATCTCCTGGAATTGCTTCACACTCCCATCTGCATCAATCAAAATTATCTATTAATAAATCTATAAAAACGGACTAAAATGAGATTTTTCTTATAGTTAATTTCTAATAAAAAAGTTGTAACTATATTACCTTGAAGACTAAAATATTTCTCTTTTAGACTAAAATATTTCTCTTTTAGCTGATTAAATAAGAAAAAATTGAAAATCACATCGTCTTTCCATCCCATTTGAAGAGAATTTGTATTCATCAATTGCAAATTCACCGAGATATAACCGGTTCCAGCTTTGATCCAATCCCCATTTAGATAGATTGTCAATTTCCTGTGATAGCAGCTTAAATTTTCGTTAATTAAGATTGATAAAGAATTAGTGAAAAATATTATTTAAATTTATCATCCTCCTATTTGTGCTTAAGTATAATGTATAGATTATAAACGACAAAGTTGAGTAAAGTGCACACCATTTGAAGCCCCCTGCAAAGAAAGTGTCCAAGATAAATTTGTGTTGAAGCTTTAGATAGGAATGAGAAGGAATCCATTTTGATTAAGTAGTGACTTGGTGCAGCATCCTTTCCTGAAAGAAAATAAAATAAGAGATATAATAAGCTTTCTTAATCACCACAACATTTGTAGATAACTCAGCCAACTTGTACCAAATTAACTTAATAACAAAATCATTTGGTTTAATTAGTTGTAAAAAAGGTTCAAATTTTAGATTGAAACAACAAATTTCATACAATTTTGTTATTTTCACTGAGATAATTTTTTTTATCTCCATGCAAAAGCATGACTCTTTTTAGAAACTAATATTCGAAAATTGGATTGAAGATATACCTGTTAAGCCTTTGGAATATTCGTTATTCATGTTGGTCTTGTTGGAATCAAGATGGGCACAAAGCACATAAGGAATTCACAAATCAAATTTCTTATTTCATATGTTAAACATAGCTTGAATACATAACTATATATAATTAAAGTTCCAGTGCTTTTCCATATTACACATTACTACCCTACCGTCAATTTTCTCCGTTAAACACAACGGTTCAAAGGGCCAAAAGGTCATTGCATGCAATACTAATATTGAAGTAAAATATTTCATCATATTTGAAGAGTTATTTATCTTCCTTTGAGCGGCAATGGCTTCTAAGTGGCGGGGTAGTGATGATGAGGGCCTCTTACTTGGTTCCACGCGACGGCGACTTCATCCCGACTAGTTCCATCAGACGACTACATTACCTCTCCTAGTTCTACGCGACGGCTTCATTGTAGACCAAAGAGAGACCACATGACAACAACGTCGACAGGTGGACCAAACTGCCGCGATGGCCATGACCACACGAGTCACGACGGCCATGTCGCCTTATGGTGCTCGCCCCACCACATTAAGATTGTATCTCCGATCTTCTCATTCGTCTTTCATCTTCATTATTCCTCTCAGAGCGGGCTCCTTTTTTGCAATCTCTGGAAAAACCCATGTGATTTTATACGGGTTCCTTACTTAATCGTGAGATTGGTGGCCTAGTTAGTAAATACGGGTACGGCAAAAAAAAGGTACGGAAATTTTACGGGTATAATACTACAAATGGTGAAAAATACGTTTATAAAAATTTGGCTATAAAATTCGGGTACGGGAAAAATACGGTATGGGTATATACGGGTTTAATACGGTGCATTGTCAATAATACGTTTTAAAAAATACGGCAATATCAATCTTAGTTTTAATACTTTTATGGATTACCTAGTTAAATAAGCTTATTCTTTATGTTAAATAACCTTAAATAAGGTTAAATAATAATTATTATAAAAAATAACTGATATTCAAATTGTACTCTTCAGACTCAAACAAAATATTTAGCCATAATTCTTTACCAATTTAAAACTTGATAAGTTTGTTATTAAATGCAACCAATTTTAACTTTCCATTAAATTATATTAAATAAAGAACTAAAATTTTGTCTCACAAATCCATATAAAATATTAGTGTTACAATACCCATAATATATGACTTTAATTGTTTATCATTTATTTATTTATTTTGATTCAATAAAAGTTAAGACTACTGGATTACTAGGTTGAATATCAGTTATTCTTTATAATAATTATTATTTAACCTTATTTAAGGTTATTTAACATAAAGAATAAGATTATTTTAATATCATTAATCCAATCTAAAACCCTTTTTCCAATCTCTTCCCTTACAAAAGAAGGCAATATAATTGTATTTTTATAATAATTATTATTAGGAAACCCCATNAGTAACCTTTGTGTATAAAAGACATGTGAATTGTAATGAAAAGAAACATTTTGGGCCCAATTTTCCATTGTTAATTGCATGCATTGTACTAGTTTTCAGTAGGTGTTACATCCTCCCCATCCGTGTCCTCAACAATATGCACTACTAATAATTCTTTTTCAAAAATAAAGGCTAGTTTCTTATCTCTTGTAGGACACACAATGACATAGTGCTCAAAGCCTTTACATTTATAACATTGTGTCCCTTTGCTGGTGGCTTTTGCTTTTCCTTTCTCGTCCCTATTCACCGCACCTCTAGATTGATCTTTCAGCAATGGTGGCCTTTGGAATGATGGTGTGGTGACATGTTCGGGTCTTGAATTTGTCAACATCATTTTCCTTCCAATCGAAGGTCCCATTTGTTTCTCAATATGGAGCGCCAATTGATAAGCCTCCTCCACGTTGATTAAACGAGCAGTCCACATTTCTCTGGGTAGTTCACTGCATAATCCGGTGTGGTATCGGGCTAAAGTTTGTTGCTCAGTCTCCACGATCTTGTTACGGACAGTCAATTTGTGGAAGCGATCCGTAAATTGATCAACACTCAATGACCCTTGCCTAAGTTGCAACATCTCCTCGAACATCATTTGCTCATAATCAATGGGCAAATATTTTTCCTTCAGTCGCTCCTTCATCTCTTCCCAGTTAGAAATTTCTGGTGGTCATGTATGACGTAATTGTTCTTCCACACTTCCCCACCTTGCTTGTGCATGCCTCTTAAATTTCATCCGAACATAACGAACCTTTCTATCCTCTGATACAACAAACCAATCGAAATAATCCTTGGTAGCCGTTAACCAGTCCTCAAAAGTGTTGGGCTCTAATTTTCCAAAAAAATCCGGCACATCAACCTTCATTCTCTTGGTCAGTTCATCAAGAGGTTGATAACTTGTGCCATGACTAGCATAACCTCGGTGAGAATTTTGCCTATGACGTCGGATTCGAGGCTCATGATCCTCAAACTCCTGGTTTTCTTTTTCATTTTCATCAGCATCTCCATCACTTGCGTCCCAAAAACTTGATGCGTTGCAACTACAACATGCATAAATAGCAAGTGCACTAGTCGCACAAAGTAATAAAGTGCTGAGTGAGTATCGTTCCCACGAGGATTGGTTGCTAGGCACTAAGTTTTCTACTGTTTTCAAGTTGGAGCAATCGAGTTGTTTGGATTAATGGAAAAAATTAAACTTAAAACTAAAACAAAATTTCTAAATATTCAAAGCTAAATTATGAAGGCAAGATTAAAAACAAGGTAATATCAGTTTTAAAACAACAGGTAGGGTTTTGATTTCATTCGGACTCCATGGATTAAACCTACAGATTATGCTCTTTCCGTATTCACATGCATTGATTGTAAATTGAATTCTCTAAATTGTAAACATACCTTCTCAGGCTATGTTTTCCTACTTTTCCCTATTAAACTTCCGCACCCAACAAATTGAAGATTAATAGTTCTAAGCTCATTAAGCACATAGAATCCTAGATTGATTTCATTGATTCTTAAATCTATCTCTAGCATTTAATACTACAATGGTGATTACCCAAGAAGCCTAACATGAATTATTTCTCAATCTCATCATGTTCATCAATTAATAACATTAAAAACAGAATAATCCCACAATCATTGCAATAGCATATGAAAATAATAAAAATCAATTGCTTAATCCATGAGAATCTGAACTACATCAAAACCCTTACTCAAAATGGGTTAGTTCATAGCTAAGTCAACAACACAAACAAAAGAAATGAAAAACCCAATGTTCAACATAATGAAAATAAGAGAAAGGACAAGAGATCTCCCCAAATGACGAATCCACCGGTTTTAATCTCGAATCTTCACCCTTTTCAATCAAAGTTCACCCAAAATCAACCTAAGAAAATGAAAATAGCTGCCCTCTACTAAAAACAAACGACCTCCCAACAAAAATGACTAAGTTTTGCTTTGATACCTCGCCCAAAAACCTAGGAAAATGCCTAAAAATGAAATTGTGCGTTTTGGAATTCGCAGACTTCGCCGCGGCGACGAAGTGAAATAAAACTCTTGTGCGCAACTCTCTTCGCTGCGGCGAACCTTCATGTGGAATTCTGAATTTATAGAATTGCCCTCTACTTGCTTCTTTGCTTGAATCTTCGATCTTCGACGCTCTCCTCATAGAAACAAGCTTCATAGTGCTCCACTCTGCTTCAGAACTTTCCCAACTTCTGAGATCCGCTCACTTCTGAGTCCAAAAACTCCAATTCGCTCATTATTTGCATAAAATGTCCATTTTACCCTAAAACACAAAATATAAAGAATTAAGTAGCAATTCAGGTCAAAATGAACTAAGAAGTATCTGAAATCCGACTAAAGAGTCTAATAAAAACAAGATAATCCACGGATTATCAAATACCCCCAAACTAAAGACATGCTTGTCCCCGAGCATAAGGTACAAAACTCACAGAAAGAAAAACAATAAACAAACAAAAACACAAAACATAACACAACAAAACTAAAAAAATGAACAAACAAAAATTAGACTCAACTCAAAAAAAATTGCCTAGAAATTACACAAGTCTCAAAGGTTGTTGAAAAATAATTATTAGAAAAATGTTCAACACTCCAAGAAGTTATACGCTACATCGACTGTCTTCCTCTATCGGTCCACCGAGTAGGTAATCCCCACTTCAATCCACATTCCAACTTCCCAGATTATTTTATGCAGAAATGCAAAGTTTATCAAATGGTGGCAGATTCCATAAGCCTAAATATCGAACTACTCTCCACTAATGTAGACTAGACATCGCTAAGAATCAAAAGGTCTTTACAAGCTTGTAACGTTAGGCTCGAGTCGTGGGCTCCAAGAAAAAGGATAGGATAAACAAAGTAAGAGAACTCGGTTTTCCTCATGCAAACACTAAAAGTCACATCAATCTCCACTTCTTCTCAACCACCCATCAAAGTGTCAACCATTTTACAACCCTCAAACTTAATATTTCTTATTTCTGATTTTGAATTGAACCAATTTTTTTTTTTTTACTTCATAGTGTTTTTTTTTTTTTTTTTTTTGAAAATAAGAAAAATCAATTGCTTAATCCATGAAAATCCGAACTACATCAAAACCCTAACCCAAAATGGGTTAGTTCATAGCTAAATCAACAACACAAACAAAAGAAACGAAAAACCCAATGTTCAACATAATGAAAATAAGCTGCCTCGCCCTGGTTTGGCTGCATGCTGAATGTTGTTCAGGATAATTTGTCCTACATCCATTCTCTTTCCTGTAGCAATAGAATACAACAAAAGTGCCTTCTCATACGTCACTGTACTATAGTGCGTTTCTAGCATCATCCTCGCACCAATAAAATACTGCCACAACCGAGCCATCGGTGTCAAATTAGTTCCCTTCATGCTCTTCTTGCCCTTTTTTGAGACCTCCCAAGTGGTGTCCAGTTTTGTAATGACCGGAAGAATAATATCATCCTCAAACTGTGTCTTCCTAAAATCCGCATACTCATCCCGATCAACGTGAGGCAAGCCATAGAAATCATTGATGACCTTTGCCGTAATCGGTACCCCTCACAAAAACAACCCCCTCACCACATTCAGGGAGGTTAGCATAGAACTCTCTGACTAGGGGTTCCACAGCTGCATGCGCGGGTTCACTCATAAAGTCCTCCCAACTTCTCCCTCGACTGCACTCATCAGCCTGGTTTGCAGTCAGTCCACGCTCAGGGATAAATCCTTTATCTTTCCTTTGGGCTACCCCTTCATAGTTTTTCCGAGCCTTTTCACTTATAAACCGGTCGTTTACTTTCTTTCCTTTTCCCTTGCCCTTGGATGGTACCTTGACTTTGAGCGGCATTTTCTCCAAAACTACCCTTCAACTCAACAATGCAACCCAAAAATTCAAACCTAAGTGTCCTACGACAACCAATTAAATCCTGCAAAAATTGACAACACTTCCAAAAATTCGCACTTAGACCCCCAAACTATGATTTTTCCAAATTCAACTCCAATTGAAGGGCCTATACTCCACTCGAACGTAACGCTCATCCATGACATCTAGTCGATGAGAGAGTTGCTCCAACACTGTGGGGATTTGATTGATCTGGTGCTGCAACTGGGGCTAGTTTGTGTTTTGGGTGTTGGGATTTTGGTCGTTTGGATTTTGGTTGTTTGCCATGGCATATGATGTACCACTACGGGTTACAAGCATGGGACATGAAACACCGTAATGAAGGAACCTGGCTCTGATGCTAAGATTGGTGCCAAGACTCCTGGATCAACCTGACGTCAACACCAATAGCAGGGCAAATACAGAATCTCTCTGTGACAATGGAATCACTCCAAAGAAAATTCAAATTCGTTGAATGGCCAAAACTGCCTTCATTATTTTCCATTCTTCCTTAAATAACAAACCAATATTACAATCTCTAACTCTAACTATGAAAGCAATAAACTAGGAAGAAGTGAACTAGGAAAGCAATAAACTCGGAAAGAAATAAACAGAACAAAAAAACGGATTTGCAATAAATATGTAAGCTTCCTAAAAATCCTTTGCATATCACAGCTCCATTGTTTACGGAATTATCGGGTACCCTTCTCTTGATTTGCATCATAATGTCTCTTGATTCTAACAAAATCTCTTCTCCTTTTCTAGACATATTAGTAAGATACCATTATAGGAACCTAAAACCTTTTTGTTAGCTTTAATAGAAGTGTAAAGCAATACCCTGCCCAAAGGAGTAGGAAAATAACAGTCTTCTATTGTCGAAGGAAGATAAATTGTTTATGCTTTTGCTTCTCTAGCACGCGATGATCCTTTAGCGGCAAGGCTGTATAGAGAAATACAGTGATAGTGTAAGATTTTTGATTCGATGATTCCAAATCTAAAAAGGATTTCAGATTCGATGACTCCAAATCTGCGAAACCTTTGAGATGTTTCATTAAGATGCTTTACAGCAAACTTGTGAGTTGAGATTAACTCAAGCCAAGGTTTGCAAACACACTTGAATTGCAGTAGAGATTTTGGGGGTAGTTTGAGAAAGATTATTTTGTACAATTTCATGAGGAAAAAATAATTGCAATATTGGCGCTCTCTGTTGTGTTTTACTCATGGTGCTAGCTAGGGTATAATTAGAGTTATTTGTTGAAAATAAATTTTGAGAAAATATATGAATTCTGAAAAACCTTTTATTCTTTTGAGAAGTACAATCTTTACTCAAATTAAGAATTGTAATACTAATTAAATAAGTCAATATATCATATAGATTAAGGCTAATCATAATCTTAATTTAACAAATATTTGACTTTTAATAAAACTAAATCTGGTAAATTTAATAGGAAGGAATGGACGGAATGTTGCAAATTTTCAATCAATTTGTAAATGGAGGGGTAATTACAATAAAACCTCTCTATAGTTATAATAGTGAGATCAAACTAATTTATTACTATAAACTTAATAGAGGCGTAGTTGCAAAAATTACTATTTTAATTTCTTATTTTATAATTCACGTTTTAGTAATATAAATTAGGATTTCAATTCATTGTTTTAATAGTCATTGTTACAATTAGACAAGAAGGGAAAGAAAATAATTATGGGGATGATAGAATAGAAATACAAAAAGTTTCGTGTCAAGAAACTTTAAACATACT